AACATGATTAAGCATCTTAGAATGCACAACACAAATAAATATGCTACGTATGAGAATCCCTCAACCAACCGACTATGAGTGATGCACGATGTAAACCATACAGCAGAGATAATGTAGTATGAGGTGGAAAGACATTGTGTTCAGAATTATGGAATTCATTTGCGAACAACCTGTGATATATGGAGTGCAGACACATGTTCAATGTCCCGGCTTAGCTTAACGGCACAACATTGTGCTACACTGTCAGGCTTTCACGTGGTCACATTCTGCGGAGGTGTTGGTGAACTTTAGCGGCATTCAGTCACGGGGGATCCAAAGAGAAAAATTTCCCTGGCTTGCCGTGTGTGTGTGTGTGTGTGTGTGTGTGTGTGTGTGTGTGTGTGTGTGTGTGTGTGTGTGTGTGTGTGTGTGTGTGTGTTTGTGTGTGTGTGTGTGTGTGTGTGTGTGTGTGTGTGTGTGTCACTCTCCAGCTTGCTGTGCATGTATGGCAAGCCATTTTTGCATTTAATCTATAACTCGTATTAGTATCTATTTTCATGTTACTTGTGCTTATTTTTTTAGAAAGTTTTTACATTAATTATTTGTGTTTATTAATTAAATAGTGCTTTTTAAAAATATAATAGTGCTTACTCATTACACACTAGTTTATTTTATTATAGGCTACTTGATACAGCAAATTCCTCGCTGATTTCGCTGTCCCCAGCAGGTAATGTTTTTAGACGCAGGACACTTGCTTGAATTTCGATCCATTTTTATTCTTGCTTCCAAAACATGTTCCATAACAAACAACTTACAATAATTTCTCAATGTCCTCCAACTGAGCGTTTGAAAACTGTATCTCTACCCACTGCCATGCTTCTTGCTGATTAGGTTCACATGATATTGACTTTCCTACAGTGCAGTGAATAGTATGCCCCATAGGTGGCAGCATAACAGCTGGCAAAAAGCAGGCCAAAAATAATACAAAATAAAATAAATTAAATACATTACTATCTTTCTATTTAGCACTCCGACACTGCTAGTACTTATTCATTAGATAGTATTTATATAGTTTTAATTTATTTATTAGACACTAGTACTTAATCATTTAGTAGTGCTTATTAAATATATAGTTTTTTTTTATTAGATACTAGTACTTATTCATTAAGTATAGTACTTATTAATATATAGTTTTTATTTATTGGATACTAGTACTTAATCATTTAATAGTGCTTATTAAATATATAGTTCTTATGTATTAGATACTAGTACTTATTCATTAAGTATAGTACTTATTAAATATATAGTTTTATTTATTAGATACTCGTACTTTTTCAATAAGTAGTACTTATTAAATTGATAGTTTTTATGTATTAGATACTAATACTAATTTTTTTAGTGACTAGTAACTATTCTGTTGTTAATAGTATGTATTCCAACTGGGACTAGTACATATTTTATGTACTGCTAGTTATTCATTAACTACTGGTAATTATTAATTAGATACTAGTACCTAATTAATAGATACTGGTGCTCAAGTATTAGATACTAGTACTTATTCATTAGGCACTAGGATATAATCATTAGATAGTAGTATCTATTTTATGTACTTGTACTTATATGTCAATCATACTAAAAACTAAAATAATCTGTGACAGAAGTTCACTCAAAAGTAACAGTTCTTTCTGCCTATAATTACCAACACTCTCGTCATTGATACTACTTTCAGAACATAAATTTAGATATTTTACCATATGAAAATGCAATGCAGTTATGAAAATTGAGAAATTAAAGCAACAGTGCAGAGATCTGGTCCCCGCGTCAGGTCAGGGTGCACTAGTAGCCTTTAAAACGCGCACATGGAGCCGCACTAAACTCACACAGGAAAGTACTGAACATTCATTTCATTCTTTTTATTTAACTAATTGTTTCAATACAGCTCTCTTGATTTCTAAAGGGAAAAAAACGCAAAAGAAATTTGTCTTTAAATTAGTTTTAGCAGAGACGCAACTGCATTTTCACATTTGTTTTTCAGTTAGGGATTAGGTCTAGAGTAACCTAATAAAAATGTTTTGTTGGACACTGCACACTAGTCTACACTATAATCAAAATTATAATTTATTATATTCATTATTATTAAAACGAAACAATACAATTGATAACACGCAAAACCCTTTTTAATGTTTGCTTTCATTATGACATCCCTAACAATAAGAAACATCCCAGCAGCAGTCTCAAGTTAGGACACTTAAAAATGCTATTTGAGTCTGAAGATGACCAGCCTGCGAAGTCAAGTTTACAGTGTCATAAATGAAATGTGTACAGTGCATGAGTGAAGGAGATTTGCCGCATCAACCTCTCATATGCACTGCATGTAGGCTGAATGATAATCTTTAAAAATATATATGAAATACAAAACTTTATATATTTATGTGTTTTGAAATAAAACGGAAAGAAATCAGGAGAGTAAAATATAATTTAAACCACTGGTCTGGCGCTGATACTTTATTGTTTGTCGCGAGAAGAGGAAAAAAACGCAGATGAAAACCTGCCTGGGGAGATGGCATGGATTATCAGTTCTTCAGAAAAGATTGTAGACATGACATTGTGAAGGCGTTTATCATAACGCAGTTCGTGGTTATGATCATTAATATTAACTAATATTCATTGCATATTATTAACTCTTCTCTCTCTAGACTTGTTCTTGTCCGCGCAAAAGGTTTATTGCATGTGTGAATCCGATTATGAAGAATGATTTTGTGATATTTATATATATATAATGATATCTATCTATTTTTTTTTTTTTAAGTAGAGAGAACATATTCACGGGCAAAAAAAGTTTCCTCCCGTACCACCAAGAAATAAAGTAGCCTACCTAAGTTAATTGACCTTTTATGTAAAAATTAAGGAATAACTCATAACTTAATTAAATATTAATTAATAAAACATTCGTAAAAACGTACATGTTTATTTTTGAACTTTCATTAATAAAACAACACATAACTGCTTATAAATATTGTAGTTATATATCAAATAGCTTTAACTGCTTGAAACCGTATAATAATAATTAATTATTACATATTTAAGAACTTAACAAATAGCCTAAATGGCACTTTACTAATCCGTAATAGTACAAATAGCAATAATTATAAGAAGTACAAAAATATAAGTCTGCTAGTGACAATATAAGTCAGATGTTTAAAAAACCAGCGTAAGTTCTGTCCATCTTTTGTTTTCTATTTATATTTTAAACTCTTTGGCAGAAAAACTAACATGTTGACTTTGTCCAGTTTAAGTGAAGACCTAATTGGGATTATAATGTTTCCAGCAATACACGTTCAGACGGTGTGCTTGTAGTGCAAATGCACAGATACTGTTTCTTGCTTCTGTTCCGCCTCCCACATTTCTCGGTAAGCAGGTTTCTCTACACTGCAGAGCGGCGCGTTCTTACCAAATATGTTTCTCCATTTCTCATCAATGTCTTCTATTCATCACTTTCTTTTTTGCACCAGGCCATTTATGGAAATGCCTCTGCGACATCTGATTGACTAGCTGGGCGTTTGCGTTTATAAGAGTTGATTATAGGCGGCTTTTTTCCCTCGCCGCCGTCTATCGTGGTGACGCGGTTGTCATGGTGACCGTCACAGCCCTAATTGAATGGCCAATCCCCTGCCATTCTGTGATCGGCAATCTGCAGATCATGATTTTGGCGATCGGTGATCGGCCGCAAAAATACTGATAGGAGCATCTCTACTAACCACTCTTATATAACATAAATATTTAACAGAATATGCATCAATTACCAATAATAAAGTGTCAGGAACAGTTTTATGTAGTATTTGCCTTGTTTTAGGGACTAAACTTGCCTAAAAACAGTCAAAACAGCAGCGTGAGAGAAGGTGTTGTGTCTTTGAGGTGGTGTCGTCGTGTCATGTCGTTGCCTTGTTTCCCATAGCAACAACCTCCCCGCTCAAGTGTTGGAATGAGACGCGCTCGCACGCACATCGAAGTCATGCAGTATTACATAAGTAAACATGATCACTCCATAAACAATTTAAATAATAACCTTTTATATTAAATCTTGAATTTAAAATACATTTAGCCGTTTTATATACACTATTATTTTTACGATGAGCTTATAAATTGTTATAAACTGTTACAAAACAAAGTCACACTTTATTTGTGCCTCAGATTCACTGTCAAAAATAAATAAGCACCAAATCTAAATGCATGTATATAAAATAAAGATGTCACTCTGTGAAAAGGTATTTATTTTAATTTAACAGCCAAAATGCAGAACAGACTTTGATTTTAACTTACATTGGGAAAAATGCTTTAGAAAAAGCCACAATAAAAAAAAGCAAACCAGTTTACAGCAGGACAAAATGTTTTATTATTAAAAAAAATATATAACAATGAAAACAAAACTTACTTATATTATAATGAATTGAAATTATATGTTGTAGATATTTTGGTCAGTTTTAATGCGTTAATGCAGGATATTTAAAGCTGGACCGACTGACGCCATAGACATGATGTATGTCGCGTTTGTTTAATCTATTATGCACGCGAAAACTTACTTGTAAACCAAATGTGCTGCCGGATTCTTTCATGGGCATGAGAGATAAAGTGCTTATGAAGTGCTTCGTCGGCCTCTGGTCGTTAACCGATGCAGAGCCGACGTTTGATGAGCTGGAACAATAGAACACACGACCGAATGAACATGCGTATGTTTGGCTGACCATATATAGATGTTAGAATTAAAGGGGCCGATGTGTTGACCTTCGGCTGACATCGGCCCAACACATGTGTGCTGTCTGGGGATATTATATTTACTCTCTGTTAGTTGTGTTTTTAATCTGTCTGAATATTTAACACACACAGTCAGCAAGATTGTGTACAATCATCATGAAAAGTATCATGAAGTGCTGTTTAAACAGTGTTTTAAAGATGAAATGTTGAGTAAATCTGCTGTGTTGACTCCAGTGTGTGCAGCGCTGAACTTTAATCTTCTCTGTTTTAGTTCAGTTCATCAGAAGAGAGCAGAAGCAGAGCCCAGCTGTGTGTCTATGAAGAGTGACTGGTCTATGACTCAACCAATATTTTTTAAGAGTGGAAACACAGGACCTGCTGTCAGGTAGATCATCTCTTTAATATCTGCAACTGATGAGTATTTTCATAATAAATGAATCAGGTAATTAGTGTTGTGGATCTGTTGGGTTTCAGATGTTAGATGTTGTATCTGAGCTCTGCAGGATAGTGCTTGAAGATCTCCGCTTTACACTTCAGGCCACAATTGATGGTGTTGACAAACCAATCAGCGCTTTATTAATAGTTAGTGAGGTAGAAGGTGGGTTTAGGTTTTGGGTAGGGTTAGGGATCCACAATAAGATCATACTGTATGACTACTAATGAGCAGTTCATATGTTCACAGTACACAGATAATAAGCCGGTAGTTAATAGTATGAATTGTGAGCTAAACTAAAGTGTTCCCGATCTCCTGCCATAAAGGGCTTTTCCTGCACACTTTCCCCTGCTGTTTCTGTGCTGTACTGATCAGCCATTCCTCTGATCTGAGTCTGTTTTCACTGAAGCGCAGTCATCATCATGTTGTGTTGGCCTCATAGATGCTGCTGATCAACACATTTGGTTTCTAGAATTGATATTTCTCGAGTTCTCCTGCTCATTCAGTCATGATAGATGATGGTAAATGAACTTGTCTTGCTGTCCTCAAAGTCTGGACTGGAGCTCTGCAGACAAACCCCCGATGAGTGACCTTCTGAAGACTGAGTAATGAGGAGGAGTATAAGGGGAGCTGCTGGAGGCGGGAATAACAGTCAGCTGACACAGTGCAGTTTATACTGCTGCTTATATAGTCATGTGATGATGATTGACACGCCTGAATGATTAAGCTCCTCCCACACCTACACTGTGGACTTCATTCAGTGATTTGATGATTAGTTTCAGCTCTAATCTGCTCTAATAGTGCTGCATTTCTGCTGGGTTTTCTCTACTAGAAATGAGCCTTGATCTGTGTTTGCTAATATTTTCACATTCAGACAGTTTCTGTTCAAATATAAAGGAAATTAATTTAAGTGTTTTTGTAAATGAAGAATGATTAATATCAGGTTTGTGCAGTGTGTGCAGCGCTCAACTTTAATCTTCTCTGTTTTTAGCTCACGTAAGAGGAAGAGAGCAGAAGCAGAGCCCAGCTGTGTGTCTATGAAGAGTGACGCGTCTATGCATACACCAATGACATTTAAGAGTGAAAACACACGACCTGCTGTCAGGTAGATCATCTCTACACACACATGATCACACTGTAGCATTTATATGATCCTGTGTTTTTAGAAGATCAGACATTATTACACTTTATTCTCACAGTCCAGTCAAGACATTTTAGTGAAGTACTGAAGTAGTATTAAGTGACTAAAGTATTAATACTCAAACTGTTAGTTAGTAGAGTGAGTTTACAGGCTTTTACAATAGTCAGCAGAAATAATAGATGAAGTGGTGTTATGCCAAGAATTGCACCCCTGCCGTAAAGTGCACAGCCTCTGAAATGTCCATATATTACCTTAAATTGATTTGAAAATAATAACAATAAAGTTATGACAACTAATGACAGTGACTGAGGTGAGCTCCATGAATGTAACCCTTACAGACGATGTGTTTAAATAAATAAATACATTTAATTTAAATACATTGATTAGATTAAATAAAGTGAATTGTTTAATGTGTGGTTTAGTTGAAAATGCCTAAGTTTAGAAACAGGCTCATTACATCAGTCTATAGTACAGTCAATATTTAGTATTTTTCTTTTATTTGTAAACCCAGTTCTAAAATGCATTTCACTCCTTGTTCTTGCTTGATGCATCAACGTAATAATCACATTAGCCTGACTGCAGTCAGATCATGAAGCAGATGAATGTGGATATTTTTGTCAAAGTGTCAGTACAGAAATGAACAAAACAACAGGATTAATACACCATATTATAAGATTAATTTTGGTAAATTTTTCAAAATTAATATTACACATTCATAATACACTGTGATACAGCCTGGTTTGTTAGTTTGTTGGATCATTTTATTTTCTACAATCGATCCGCTCAATTTAACCGAGACCGTCTCACCCTGGCGATCTCAGGCCCCGTTTACACTAATGCGTTTTAGTTTGAAAACGCATAAGTTTTGCTACGGTTACGCCAACCGTCCACACTACGCCGGAGTTGTCGAGCGCCGAAAACGGAGCGTTTCGAAAACGCTGGAGAGGCCGTTTTCATTTTGAAACGCTGCTGCTCCGTCTCAGTGTGGATGATGGAAAACGGAGACATCTGAAAACGGAGGCGGGGCTGCAGACGTTCGCCTCTCTGATTGGGGCTTTTCCTGAATATTAAGTAGCCTAACACACAGTTCAGTCCTGAATCTTCTCCGTGTAAGTTCAGACTTCGCAAGTTTGATCATGGCTGCAGTCTCTTCTTCTCAGTTTGATATGGAAAAGCAGACTATACCGAGGACACGGGTAAATCTTCAAAGGGAACAGTGTACTTTATAACTTCATTCACATCACCCTGGCTTCGTTGTTTCACTTTCTCAACAATAAAATGTAAACATGATTTAAGGAACTGCCTATTTTCATTTTAATATTAGCAACTTAGACAGCAGACATGTTGAGGCGCCGTGCTGCATAAGATGAGCGTCATCTTCACTGTCTGGATATTTATAACAAAACGGAGCCGATAACAACTGCCTCCTTTCAATTTCAGTGAAAATACGAAACATCCCCTCTCTTTTGCTGAGTATCAGTTTTAAGAATCGATAATGGCCATTTTAAAAGTATAACATACAATAAGTTTATACATTATAGGAAATAAAGGCAAGCGATCAGTCAATATACAGAATGGACGTGGTTACATTAATCATTAACTTATCTTTGCGCTCAGCCAAAACACGTTACCTGAGAACAAGTAATAGATTCCAATGCCCAAAGTCAGGGAATATGTCGTTAGATAAAGACAACAAGATGAATGAAATATCCCGTTTAATAAATATAGTGAGATTAGATCCAGCGGGAGATGCTTGATGAGAAGTCCGACTAGCAGAGCTCTCATCTGGGTACATGGGCTGCAGCGCTTGCCCGAGAGCGTCTGTGTGGTCACGTGATGTGCGTTTTCAGCGTTTTGGTGTGGACGGAGAGCAGTTCAGAAACGCTGGGTAAAACGCGAGTGTGGACGCGGATCGTTTTCATTCTAAAACGCCGTTTAAAACTAAAACGTACTAGTGTAAACGGGGCCTCAGACTAATTAATAAGATGCAGACCTGAGTGTGAAAGCACCCTGTATTTGCACACAATTGACAAACAGTCTCAGCCAAATTAAACTTTAGTGACAAGGCGGCACTGGCCTGATCGGGTAAGTAACTATTATGTATACTGTCCAGAGTGTCTCGCATGCTGGCCCCAGGCCATCGGGCAGCCCTTATTGTCGAGCCTTGACACATTTCATATGATAAATAATTATGGGCGAGAGAGACATTGATTTAGGATGAAACTGTATTCAGATCTTCTCTTTATTATTGTCTTAATAAAGTGCATCAATGTTACAGCGCTGTTACTGAAATCCTGAACCCTGAGAGAAAACACTTGTATGATCTGGAGATTATCATGTGAATTAAAAGCTATATTCAGTCAGACAGATTTAGACAGCAGAGAATCATTATTTTCTTATTGATGGTAAAACATTTAACAAGCATAAGATCAAAACAACCCTCAGAACTACAGACAGCAGAATACAAGATTTAGAGGAACATGAGAACAGAAATTATACAGTAAAAGAAACAACATTACCACATTACACACTACAGCAGCAAATGTCTTTAGTGAGCCTTCAGCATCATTGTGAATAAATGAAATTAAATTATTGAAGTGCTGCATTTATTAAATGACAAACACTGTTAAATGTTTACAGCATTTTGAACTGTAGATGTGTGTTCAGTGTTTGGTGTTTACAGTGATCAGTGTGTGCTGTTTAAATTAAATCTGATTAAATCGGTGTATTGTGTCTCAGCTGGTTCAGAGAAAACACACATGGCTTCACTAGAGGATCTTTACACTTGCACTCATTGGTTCTTTGTGTTGTTGTTGTTCCTGCAGTGTGGATAGAGATGATCAGACTGGAGACCTGCAGCAGGATTCACTCCAACCAGAACATGATGAACTTCAGAGAGTCAAAGAGCAGCACAAAACCAGCATGAAGAACAAGTATGAGAGATTATTTGAGGGAATCAACCATGGAGAGACTCAAACCCTCCTGAACAGCATCTACACACAGCTCTACATCATAGAAGGAGAGAGTGAAGGAGTGAATGAAGAACATGAGGTTTTACAGATGGAGAAAAGAGCCAGAACAAAACCCTCACAACACACTCCAGTCTACTGCAATGAAATCTTTAAAGCCTCAGCTGGAGCAGGACATGAGGAGAAGATCAAGAAGGAGAAAGCCCAGATCAAGACTGTTCTCACTAAAGGCATCGCTGGAATCGGGAAAACCGTCTCTGTGCAGAAGTTCATTCTGGACTGGGCCGAGGGAAAAGACAATCAGGATGTAGATTTCATGTTTGTGCTTCCATTTCGAGAGCTGAACTTGATCAGAGATCATCAGTACAGTCTTCACAGACTTCTGCTGGACTTTCATCCTGAACTTGAAGATCTGGAGCCCAAGATTTATGAGCAGTGTAGAGTTGTGTTTATCTTTGATGGTCTGGATGAAAGCAGAATCACACTCAACTTTTCAGATGAGGAGAAAGTTTGTGCTGTGACTGAATCTTCATCAGTGGCTGTGTTGATGTGGAGCCTCCTGAAAGGAGATCTGCTTCCCTCTGCTCTCATCTGGATCACCTCCAGACCAGCAGCAGCCCATCAGATCCCCTCCAGATACATCAAGCGTCTGACAGAGATTCAGGGATTCACTGAGCCTCAGAAGGAGGAATATTTCAGGAAGAGAATCAGCGACGAGCATCAAGCCAGCAGAATCATCTCCCATATCAGAAGAGCAAGAAGCCTCCAGATCATGTGCCACATACCCGTCTTCTGCTGGATCTCCTCCACTGTGCTTCAGAAGCTCCTGGAAGAAGATGTGAGTGCAGAAATCCCTCAAACTCTGACTGAGATGTACATCCACTTCCTGCTGATTCAGATCAACATGAGGAAGCAGAAGTATGAAGAGAGAGATCCAGAGAAACTCCTGCAGTCCAACAGCGGAGTGATCCTCAAACTTGCTGAAGTGGCTTTCAGACAGCTGATGAAGGGCAATGTGATGTTCTATGAGGAGGACCTGATTGAGAGCGGCGTAGACGTCACTGACGCCTCGATGTATTCTGGGATCTGCACTGAGATCTTCAAGGAGGAATCTGTGATTCATCAGAGGAAAGTCTACAGCTTCATCCATCTCAGCTTTCAGGAGTTTCTGGCTGCTTTCTTTGTGTTTTACTGCCATTTAACAAAGAAGAGAAAACTGCTGAGGGTGATTTATGACAGAGGTTATTCATATAATCAATATCTACAGGCCAGGTCTAAGAAGTCTCTGTATGTTCTGCTCAGTTCAGCAGTAGTTAAAGCTGTCAGGAGTAGTAATGGTCATCTGGATCTGTTCCTGCGGTTCCTGCTGGGCGTCTCACTGGAGTCCAATCAGAGACTCTTCCAGGATCTGCTGACACACACACAGAAGAGCTCAGAGAACATCAGGAGAATCACACAGTACATTAAAGACCAGATCAAGACAGATAACCGTCTCTCAGCTGAAAGATCCATCAATCTGTTCCTCTGTCTGCTGGAGGTGAAAGATCAGACTCTGGCCAGAGAGATTCAGCAGTTTGTGAAATCAGACAAACACTCAGAGGAGAAACTCTCTCCTGCTCACTGCTCAACAATCTCCTACATGATTGAGATGTCAGAGGAGCCGCTGGATGAGTTAGACTCTAATAAATTCAACACATCAGATGAGGGAAGACGGAGACTGACAGCAGCTGTGAGAAACTGCAGAAGAGCTCTGTGAGTATTCATTGATTGATCACAGAAGACACACATCAGTCTGCACTGAAGACCTCAGATCAGTTTAGTGAATCACTGCCCTGCTTTAACAGAAAATCTTTAGCTGGCCATATCGTCCTCCTGTGAGATCGCTGATACACCATATTACTGCATGGGGACGCGGCGGCAGTGTTCTGTTTCCTTATTAGCTCATTTATTTCATCATTTCTAAACGTATTTAACAAACTTTTCTTGACTTTTTACTCACACAAACAACATTTGTACTTATTTAATAATCTACTTCATTTGCTTTACAGTTTATCCTGGAAAATAACTCAAATCCCTGTAAATCCCTGTGCTCCTCCAGCTGAATAGGACATTTGTTGATGTGTATTTGCTCAAATCTAACACAGTGTTGCTCTTGGATAATTGGGTTTGTTTTCTGATCAGAGAAATAGTGTAATTTTAGACACAGTATTGCCGTCTCGCCGCAGACATGCCTCTAATATTACATTTACTGTAGGCCTAAACACTAAACTTTACACTGAGCTCAGTAAAATGCTCTCTGATTAGTTATTAATAATCTGTTCAATAATTCAGTACTGTCATATGAATGGGGAAATACAGCTTTAGTTTAATGTAGATTCAATCAATAAAAAAATAAAAAGATATTTCTAAATGAATTAAACAGGCTTGTTCTGAGGCATGAGGGTGGTATGAGGGCCCAATGTCCACAGGTGGGGGTTGCAGCCCAACACCATGGTACAACACCATGAGGTAGCCTGATTGCCATTAGGTACTGAGATGAGATCCTCAGACCCTTGTGAGACCATATACTGGTGTGGTTGGCCCTGGGTTCCTCCTAATACAAGACAATGCTGGACCTCATGTGTCTGGAGTGTGTCAGCAATTCCTGCAGTTCATTACAGTTTTGAGTGTGACTCCTAATCCAGTTCTCCATGGGTTAATACATTTGATTTCCAGTGATCATGTCTGTGTGATTTTGTTGTCAGCACATTCAACTGTGTAAAGAACAAAGTATTTAATAAGAATATTTCATTCATTCAGATCTAGGATGTGTTATTTTAGTGTTCCCTTTATTGTTTGAGCAGTATATATATATAGTTTATTTCCAGTGTTGCTTTTATCACTGTAGACTGAACTCATGAACACTCAACACTGCTCATTTCTTACTGCTGATTGTGTTGCTCTTTGTCCTCTACACAGACTACAGGGCTGTAAACTCACTGTTGAGTGCTGTGAGAGTTTGTCTTCAGCTCTACAATCCTCAAACTGTGTGCTGAGAGAGCTGGACCTGAGTAACAATGACCTGCAGGATTCAGGAGTGAAGAAGCTCTCTGATGTACTGAAGAGTCAACACTGTAAACTGGACACACTGAGGTCTGAGTTCAAACACCTGATTGATTGATTGATTGATTGATTGATTGATTGATTGATTGATTGATTGATTGATGGATTTTTTTTGTTTTGTTACATCAGATCACATTAACAGTGTGGTTTTTAGTAATGTGTTCTTCTTTCTCAGATTGGTCATGTGTAATCTCTCTGTTGAGTGCTGTGAGAGTTTGTCTTCAGCTCTACAATCCTCAAACTGTGTGCTGAGAGAGCTGGACCTGAGTATCAATGACCTGCAGGATTCAGGAGTGAAGCTTCTCTCTGATGGACTGAAGAGTCAACACTGTAAACTGGACACACTGAGGTAAATGATTCTCCACTCTACAATAACTACTAGGGGTGTAACGATACACAAAAGGCACGGTTCGGTTCGGTTCACGGTTTTGGAGCCACGGTTCGGTTCGGTACGGTTCGGTTTCTGTTTGCTGTGGGGTTAGGGTTGATGTCATGCTAACAGCAATGCTAAGGGACAATTCACTTAATAACAAGAACATCTTAACTTTTTCTTTATTAACTTTGTCATCGCATTTTTAGTACAGTCAGGATACCCGAGTAAACAACTAGAATTAAATAAATACCTCCAATATAGACTAGTCAGAAAAAAAAACTATTCTCTTTAGTGCAGCCATCTTAACTAAGTAAACTAAAATTCAATAAATAACTGCAGTGTAGACTAGTGAAAGATCTTCTTCAACAACACCATAATATCCACATTCTCCGATTAGAGGCTTGATCTCTGTGCTGACACAAACGCTCATTTTTGATTATATGGTTTCATTTAGATAGATAGGTTTCCGTTTAAATTAATGAAAAATATACATATAATGTGTTTGTAAAGTGTTTTTCATGACATATTCACCAGTAAAATACATTGCGGTTGTGTCTGAAACTAATGTTAGGGTTGTAGCCGGCTGTATGTTTGCCTCCCGATCTCTCACTCTCTCTCTCCCGCTCCCTCTATGCCGGTCATTTATGTAGGTCCGCCTTCATGACAGCTGATGCCTGTCATTTCTGTAGGCCCGCCTTTTTGACAGCTGATTGGTCAGGAGACCGATCTATCATCATTTGGCGACGCAGCGCGGGAATGTAAAAAGCATGTCAGGAAGAGCGGGAGAGAGAGCGCTTTTTCCTTTGATCTCGTTTTTCGTGTATTTTTCTGACATGATTATGATTTTCGTTGTTTTTGCTTAACTTTCGTTTGGGTAAAATTATTTTGCATTACTTTTGCCCACTTTAAGAAATTTTGTGAGGTTTGTACATTTTTATTTCAATTGATTTGTATATTATTTTTTAGCTCCGACAATATAGCTGTATCTCCTCAAGTTCAGTCTTAGTGTAAGGTGGATAGGGAAAATGTCATACGATTTCTATTTTGCAAACACCTAGAAAATGTATTGTTAAAGACATCAGGTAAGAGTTGAAGGTCATCTTTGTTTATTTTATTCAGTATAGGGAAGAATGCGGCGCACGGCGCTGAAGACCTTTTTTTTCTTTTCATCAGTTTTAGCGAGGTAAGAGGGGTTATTCATGAGTTAGAATTGTTTTATTATATTTATTTCTTTTGTTTGTCTTCACTATCACCCCCTTGCTCGAGTTTAACTAATTTTTGTTTGATACTTTTGTTTGAATTTGTTACTTTATTATATTATTTTTATTAGTGTAAATATTTCTCTTTTTTTGTATATTTGGGCATTATTCTGGTTTCACTTTTGTACATTAAATCACTTTTGTTGGCAGTTCTGTTGCTTACACCCTCACATTGTGAAATTACCACACTTTTTAAATGTTTTTCCTTACAAGTAAGGCTTTGTCTACGACACAAATTCTATTCCTGTACTCAACTGGAAAACCAAAATGTTTCCACACAGATGACTTAAATGTGTCTGGGGGATCTGCAATCTCAGTACTATGTGAAGCAGCAATCCTGCCTCCAGTAGTAACGAGTGTGATGCTTACTCAAGTCACATGACATAACATGCACTAAAATACTAACCTTAGAATATAATATTTAGAACAAATCCTCATCATTACTAAAACAATTTAATCAAATATGATAATAAAGATGTGTTAAAATTGGTTCAATTAGTTAGAGACAAGTGACGTCAACCTCAACAATGGGCAGCAGGGGGCGTGAGAGTACCGCGGTACGCCACGAGAGTTTCTCGATACGTATCGTGGTTGGTGTATCGCGATATTTCGGTTCGGTTTTAATATCGTTACACCCCTTATAACTACAGTCAGACAGTTTCATATTAGAGCTCTTCATGCTTGAACATGTTAACCCTGGGTGATACTAAACCCCAGATAACAGGAATTATGGTTTATCAGTAATTGTATTTCACACTGCTCATACTATACCTGTAGTTAACCCTCAGGGGTCTGAGGTGATTTTGGGACCCCTGAGATGTTTTGACATGCCTTGACATCTGTTTTGTAGAAATAAATATTATGTGTGGTTAGTAGGTTTTAGAGAAACAAATGTAGCTGAAATACGAATCTAAAACCAGACTGAATGTGCCTGAACAAGACTTTAGAGTAAGCAGTCTTGTAGACTAGAATATTTACTGCACAATTATGTGAAATTATTCTGTTCTCTCATTCAGAGAAAACATACTTGTTTTTGTCTACTTGTTGTGTTACTGCTGTGTGACCATGTAAACACTCTGGGTGAACAATATACAGTGCTCAGCATATATAAGTACAGCCCTCACTAATCTCTCTTTTACATTCATAGTTTAATAGGAAGCTCTACAGTATTATATTTGTGCATATACAATAGATTAGCCAAATCTGGAGCTCATCTAACAAAATAACTCATGATAACGGTGTAAAGACTAGTACACTCATGTTTATGTGTTATAGAAACATATTAAATTTAAAATTAAAAAATGAGGAAAAGTCAAGAGAAGCAAAACAATGGAAAAATTAGCTGAAATTTTGTAGGGTTTTTGCAATATTTAGCCTGAATTTAATTGTATTATCTTTCAATTTCTGAATATGTTTGGTGACTAAAATATGATGTTCATAAATAAATCTGTTTAATAAATGTGTTCTGTTTAAATGCAGCAGAATACACTGCCTATATTGACTGAGAAATGGAGGAAAGTCTTGGTTTTCAGAATGGGCTGTCCTCCATTATGCTGAGCGCTGTATGTGACTTATACAGCCGCACATATAATA